GTGAAGTTCGCCAACACGCATTGGGGCAGCGCGGCGGACACTTCCTTGCCCTGAAACCCTCTCAGAAATGAAGGGAGGCCTGTGCCCAGGAGTGGGACGTATATAGGCTGTAACTTTACTTTACTTTACTTTTATTGATTCTTATTTGTATTATTTATCATGATACCGGTTAGATTTTGATAAAATTTTTAGCCAATTTACTGTGGTAAATTGGTATCTTTCTCATGAGTTAAGTTATGTTAAAATATCTAGTTGGTCCTAAAACGATTGCTTGCCTTTGAAAATTCTAACAAAAGCCAGACGGGCCGGACACTAATCCGGACGTCTAATTGGCCAGACACGCAACCAAAAAAGCCTGACTGTGTCCGGCTTTATCCGGACGCCTGGCAACGCTAGCCATAGCCGTCAACACACACTACGATAATATCGAAACGAGACGGAGCGCGCGAAATAAATTGACACAGGTGCAACTCAGACGAGCGCTCGCGCTGTATTGAACGCAGAAGGCCGGCGCGGCGCAGTGAAATATATGGTACTTTTATTTAGTTAATTAAAAATAATACTAACTAAGTAATAAACTAAGAGTTTAAGAAAATGAAGATGATTATTTTGGTATCAATTTTACGTCAAAGTGATGTAGAACTTTGGAGATATTGGGGCTTGTATCGAAGCTTTTTCGGTAGATAATTTGAATTATGTCGATTTTTTTTCCATTGCGTGAAAGGCATATAATGAAAATCTATTTTATGATTATGAATTCTTATATTTACGCGAACACTACACGTTGATTAATACTACTTTTACGGATTTTTTCGCGTTTAATTTTAAATGTTTTTTTATTAATTCCTGACGTTTCGGGTGCTGCCAGCACCCATGGTCACGGGGAACTGAGGTGACTGACGTCCCGATGTCAATGTTAATCCGGAGTACCTTCAGCTTTATAAGTATTGTTTATGGTCCGATCTACATCGGGACGTCAGTCATCTCAATCCCCCGTGACCATGGGTGCTCGAAAGCACCCGAAACGTCGGGAATTAAAAACTATTTAAAATTAAACACGATAAAATCCGTAAAATTAGTTTTAATCACTATTGTATGATTATTAAAGTATAGGATATTTGTGAAATAAAATATTTTTTCGGTGGTAGATATTCAATAGAATCTACAAATTAGAGTCTCTCAATTTTGGCCTAAACATGCAACAGGAGAACGATTATTACTAAATAAATAAATAAGTTATTTAAAATTTGCTTTGAGATTATTTTAGTAGAGAAAACGAACTATTTTTATCAAACAATTGTTATTTGAAGCAACGAACGGAAAACATATAATTTCAACGAAGTAACCTTATAATTTCGCGTTGTTTTGTAATACTCCTCTTAAGACAGCATTATAAAACGACCCTAAATCAAAATTGAATAAACTACAAACCTCATTGTTCGCATCCTATGAAATTATAGCAGCTATTAATGAATTATTGGCTTCAATTGTGTGATATCTTACACGTTGTCTAACTTTTAAAATAGACCGTCAACATCCTAGACAGTCGCGCGTGTGGCCGAATTCCCTATCAGCACTCATATGTCCATTTCTGCAATATTCGTTCAGAAGCAAGAAGCACTGACAGATAACAGTTGCTGTTGGAAACTAAAAATTGTAAACAGACATCAGAACATAGTTCGTTAAATCTAGATCCAAGTAATGTTAACGAATTGTACTGTTTATAAAATTATTTTTCAAGTTATATATTATTACGATATGTGTCTGGGTGACAGGCGTGAGTGTTTATGTCATTATTATGTGTCTGAAGAAGGTGTACAACTATTTACAGATTAGTAACATATAAGCAAATAAGACAACGGCAGAACCATATCAAATATATAAAAAACTCATTAACTAAACAAACCTGTTAGAAAGATCGCCATGTTGAAAGAGGTCACAAAATGCCTCTGCATCCTATTGACGTAAAGATGACAATTTGTGCACCTCAACATCTTGGAAAAGTAAACAAGTATCAGAATGTCCGTGTTAACTAGCAGTAAGTCAATAAGTAGGCGTGATCGAGTCCGTACAATAAAAACTTAAGTCGTCAGCAGAAGCAGGAAAAAGCGCAACGGTAAAGAAAGCGGGATCAGCACAAGTAAAAATGTAATATAATCAATTTATCTCACAAACATAAATCAGTCAATGTGTGAAAATTACGTTAGTAGTATATATAAGTCAATAGAAAACATTCGACATTAATTTGACATACGTACTTACAATATTGACATAATGACGTGTGTGTATCGTCTCTCAAAATGCACAAAAATCAATGATTGTTATTCAGTAATGATCTAATCCAATTTAAAATTATTTTCGACTTAGAATTCATTGTTTATTTAAAAAGAAAATAAATATTGGTACACATTATTTTTATATGAAATAGACTTTAAAAATACGCTATTAATATATAAGCCAATGATAAAAATAGTATTTGTCATATTATAAAAATATTTTTATGTGATTTTTAATAGAAATAGATACTTTTTCGTCCTTTTTACTTTTTTACCTTTACTTATTCGTACAAAGAAACGCAAATGCTATTAGGAAAGACTGGAAATGATATATTATATATATTGATCGTTATATAACCCTATATTAAACAGTATTTTACCACAAGTTGTACAAAATTACGATTTATTACAAAATAGTTCAAAATTACTAAGATAATTTTAAATATATTTTCCTTTTTTGTACAAGGTGGGGCACGATCTAGCATTCTTCTTTAAGGACCTATACTACCACTTCCCCACGCGTTATATGCTAAGTACCGACATGTTTTTAATTACTAATACTGTAAATAGATAGGTTGTTATATACTTATTTCATTAGGTTTGTTACTTGTTATTTTACAAAGGTTATTTCCCATTTTAATTTTACGTCATCCTGTTGCGTAATGTGTAATCTGATCGTAAGCAACACTGCTCTCCCGTTCGAAAGCCGAAGCGAAACTGATCGGGCAACAGGGAACAAGATTCAGGACGCCGATAGCTTAGGTAATTTTTTTTTTACAGTTAAAACAATGGTAATTTAAGAAAATAAAAAATAAGGTAACTAACCTCACTCACCTTAATGCTAAAGTGTTTTTTATTTTTATTTTATTATAGCACTAGTGAGAAACGAGCACACAGTACACCTGATGGTGAGTGGATGCTGTGGCCCATAGACATCCACAATTATCTTCAATTAAGGATCAAATTGCAATTGCGTTGTCACACCTGTTGCTTACAATCTAAAATCGAGGTATTCAATCATAGTCTCTTGAAGACTAAGATGGAATAATTCAGTAAAAATTGTCTCCGGTTCTCGACACTTACCATATGAAACACAGCAGTACTATGCTGCTATTTTACGCTGGTATTTTGTACGAGATGTCATACCCCGATCGAGCCAACCCATTTATGCTACATCTATAATATAGCAGCAGCATGGCTATACCACGTAAAAAGCGGTGTAGTAAGCACCACACCGCTGATTTTCTCTAAGTAAGAGATAAGCAGCGTGCATGTGACGAAAATTATCCATTTTATTACACTTAGGAAGACATTACATATATGAAGATACTCCTGGCTTAACAATGTCATCGGGACGTCAGTCATCTCAGTCCCTCGTGAGCATGGGAAAGTCAGAATGAGAATCTTACAAAATACGAACGTAAAATAGTAGCTACCTGCTGTGTGTCATATGGTGAGTGTAGAGAACTGGAGACCCCTTATTATTCCATCTTAGTCCTCAGGGGCGGCAACGTATCTGCATTTCGAATTGTAATCGAGGATAGATTATTGGCCACACCATCCGCTTACCGTTTATAATTTGTAAAATGGGTTTTCAACATTATCTAAAAAAATAGAAAGAGAGAAGAAAAAGCTACGTGGTAGAGCCACGCTGCAATTATATTAGTAGTATAGGTGTAGCACGAATGGGTCGGCTCGAACAGGAAAGGATCACGCTCTCACAGAATACCAGCGTGAAATAGCAGCTTAATGCTGCTGTGTTTCGTATGGTGAGTGTAGAAAACCGGAGACCCTTTTTACTGGAAACGAGTCATTCCATCTTAGTCTTCACGGATGACAACGCATCTGCATTTTGATTCGTAATCGAGGATAGATGTAGATGTCTATAGGCCACAGCGACCACTTACTATTAGGTGGATTGTGTGCTCCTTTGTTACCCTATCCTATAAAAAAAAACCCTTTCATGTGATATAAATTTTACACTGTTCTATGCAATAGCGATTTAGTGTCATTATTATATGATGACTAGCGATCTGTCCCGGCTTTGCATGGGACATTTCTGGATCTCGACATCAGTACCGCTTACCGGGTCCAATTAAGCTTTTACACTATCTACTCAAATACACTTAAAAATTCATCATAATCGGTCGAGCCATTTTCGCGTATATGCGAGAGTAACGGACAGCGATTGATATTTATACAAAAATATTTTGTTTTTGTGCTCTATCTAATATATTATATTGTCGACGGGGAAAAAAGGTTCTCGAATCTCGCAGCCTCATACCGGTGAGTGTAGTGAAGAGCGACCCCCCACTAGATGTAGTGACTACCTGGTAAGACATGCAGGAAGTCAATGGATGCAGGTGGGTCACGACCGCGATTTGTGATATTTCTGGAGGGAGGCCTATGTTCAGCAGTGAACGTATGAATGGCTGTAATGACGATGATGGTGACATAGATTTAAAAAAGTGTAAAAGTGTTACAACCTCGCCTTAAGCTCTTATCAGAGCTATGTTCTTATAGCTACTTCTAATAGTGTAAGTAATGTTTAGATAACAATAAACGCTAATCGGTTATTAAGATTTGTTTTATCGAAAATGATAAAAATATTTTTTATCATATTTTTATAAATAAAGAAATATTATTACCAAGTCATCCGTGTGATAAGGTGCTGTTTATAAATTTAAAAAAAAATTAGTAGATTTTATAAGTATAAAAATTAAAATGTCCCCAACACAAGAAAATATTAGTGATGATCAAGATTATACAATAGAATTAACTGAAAGAGATCCTCTTAAGGAAAATATTGAAGACACTAAACCAGAGGAGAAAAAGACAGTAAAAGCGACGCTTTTAAATATTTTCAGCAATGTGACCGTAGAACCAACAATGTTCTTATTTATGGTATCGCTTCTTTTGACTATGTTGACGTCACAAAACTTGAGTCTTGAAAAAGCATGTCGCGTTAATCTTAATTTTACGACAGATATATGTGATTCCCTACACGCGCAAGATATAGAAATCCAAAATGAATATGAAAGAGACACACAGAAATTAGTTACATCTGCCATGGCTTGGAAAACGTACTTGAGTGCAACTTTTCCTTGTGTTTTAGCTCTTTTTGTTGGCTCATGGTCTGATAGAACGGGGCGGAGAAAAGTTTTCATCCTCATACCAATTGCAGGGCAGATGCTTATTTGCATTAACGGTATATTAAATACGTATTTCTTCTATGAACTACGTCTCGAATATTTTATGTTAAGCGAAGGAATTTTAGAAGGCTTTTCTGGTGGTTGGTGTGTTTGTTTTTTAGTGATATTTACATATATCAGTGCTATTACAACAATTGAAAATAGAACGTTTCGCATGGGATTAATAAACTTCAGTTTAACAGCAGGGTTTCCAGTAGGAATGGGTATTAGTGGAATATTACTCAAAACTTACGGATATAATGTTTGTTATGGATTGGCATGTGCTGTACATGCTGTTAACTTTACGTACAATTTCTTCTTTTTAAAAGATACGACAAAAACAAACGATCAGATGAAGGTAATCTATAAACATTTATAAACCATTTTTTGTAACAAAAATCTCTAAATTTATTTCCAATAATATCTGTAAGGATTGTTAAATTTATTGTCATAGCTTCTAATAGAGATTTCCAAAGAGTTTTATAATTTATATAAAACTTATCGCTTTATATATTCTGACAAAAAATATTTTTAATATTTCAGGTAGGCGGCCAGGGCTTCTATTACTTATTACGTGTATTTTTTGATCCTACAAATATAAAAGAAATATTTACAACCATATTCAAATACGGTCCTAATAACAGAAGAGCGCGAATTATCGTTCTGATAGTTGTTCTCACTGTCTTGTTTGGTCCCATGCATGGTAAAAACATTTTTACAAATTAAGTTTTATAATTTATCTTGATTTTATAATTTTATTATAATTAAATATACGTTACCGCTATCCTATTTTTTAATATTTTATCTTTGAAGATTAAAATAATTGCTTAGAACTATATTATGTTATTAAATTATGAATATATTATGAACTGAATAAGGAACACCATTATTAATCTATGCTTAATTTTATTTCAGGCGAAACATCAATTTTATACATATCCACTAGATACAGATTCAACTGGGACGAAGTCAAATTTAGTATTTTTCAGACTTATAATTTTGTGACACATTCCATAGGTAAGTTTAATTTTTTTAAATATAACTACATACAACTATAATCACGCAAGACATATCTTACGTATTATTTTTCTTTAGGAAAAACACATCTGACATTTATTTCCATTTGCGCAGAATATAAACGGTGATATGAATTAAAAGCAAAGAGATTCATCCGATTGTAAATATTTGAATATCTTTGGGTTGGGTTTATAAGGTATATGCAACAAGAAAATATAGGGTACAATTTAAATTGTACTGACATTTATGCCAAATCACCTCATATAGTCCCGTGTGTTTTGTAAGGGGCTACATAGGAAAACAATACAGGAGATGAGGAGCATCTTTCTGATAACGATTAAAAAATCAACTGTGGTTGCCAATCCGCCTGCCAGGCATGTCAACTATGGCATATAGGAGGCCTATGATAAGCAGTAGACTTTTATTAGGTTGTAACTTAACGATTATGCCAAGTAGCCTGAGGAACCGACTATTAATAGAAAATAAATAAAGAAAGATTCTCGGGTGGTAAACTCGTACTGGTAAGTGAAGTGTATTAGATAGAGTGAAGTCCTATTGGTCCATGCAGGAAGCTCTGGAAGGTGCTTTGTATCATTTTTGCGATGCGTATATGTTAGACACTCGCAAAGTTTAGGGACCAGGTTGGCTTTAGACAACTAATTTCATACTAGTTTCAATCAAGGAAAGGATATACTACAGTTCCAATGAATGCCAGATATGCTCGTATCTTTAGCAAGAAATTGCATCATTGGCATCTAACTCACCTCAAATCTAGGCGTAAGTGTAGAGCGAAATTGTACGATTTTTTTTTCATATTTAAAATTCTTATAGGGTGGGATTAGTGCTTTATGTTTAAAGTCAATTTACATTTTTTTTTCAGCTCAATTGAGTAACATATTCCGCCCTCGCCCTGAAAGTTTAATGTTTTATCGAAAATGTTTAGTATGTTCTGTCTCCCGGAGAGACGAAAAGTGGATTGCAGAGGCCCGTCTTGCTACGTTGAATGTATGTGGGGCAATGAATGATAAAATGGATGAAGTATGCGATATGATGTATGGTAGAGGAATAGATGTGTTATGCGTAAATGAGACGAAAAGGAAGGGGAAGGATGTCACTACACATGGCATGTATACCGCATACTGGTCTGGTGTAGACGAGATCAAGCGGGCATGCCAGGGAGTAGGTATCATCCTTTCAAAAAGATTGGGCCAATGTGTGAAAGAGTATGAATGTGTAAGCCCAAGACTGCTATGGATACGAATGAAAGTGGGCTTAAAGAAGTTGTTTGTGTTAGGGGTCTACGCCCCAGATATGTCTAAGCCCACTTATATCCGAGAGCAGTTTTGGGAAAAGGTAAGGATGGTGTTAATGAAGTGTAAGGGAAATGAAAATATTATTATGCTAGGAGATTTTAATGGAAGGGTTGGGGTCAGGAGGCTTGGTTATGAAAGAATATTGGGAACGTTTGGTGATGAAAGTATAAATGAGAATGGTGAAAGTCTCCTCACCGTATGTATGGAAAAGAATCTTTTTGTGACGAACACTTGCTTTCGCCACAAGAGGATTCACATGTATACTTGGGAAAGAGGTGACGATAGAAGCATGATAGATTTCATAATTGTGGATGAAAGATTGAGGGGCGCAGTGGTAGATACGAGAGTTTACCGGGGTTCTAACGTAGGAACGGATCATTATTTAGTTTTATGCCGAATTAATGGTCTATTCAGGCGCTGGCCCCATCGATCGTCTGTGTCTACCACTGCGTTACAGCGTATTAGAACAGAAAGGTTACAAGATGAAAGTGATAAAAACAAGTTCAAATGTAGACTGAAAGAAATTATAAGTGGTTTGGATGAATTATGTATGAAGGAGTTAGACTTGGAGAATATATAGCAAAATGTAAAGAAAGGTTTAGTGGATGCAGCTACCGAAGTATGTGGTGTTAGTAAGAGAAAGAATGAAAGAATAATAATACGCTATGGTGGGATGATGAGATACGTATGGAAGTTGAAGTAAAGAAGAGAGCATAGCTAGATTTACTAGCAACAAAGGCTGCTAATTCTAGTGGTACGAATGGTGATATTGAAAGAAAAAAGGCAGTCTTTAGACATATTATAAGAGAGTAAAAGAAGTAGTTGAAAGAAAAAAGCAAGAAAGAACGGATAAGAATGATAGAAGAATATCGGATAACTTCCAGGCAAATATTAAAATGTTCTGGAAACTTATAAGAGCTGCCAGGGGACATTCAAAACAGCCTATGATGAATGCTATAAGAGACGAGAATGGCTATATTCTGAATGACGAAGTTTGGAGTTTAAAGAGATGGAAGGAACATTTTGAAAGCGTGTTTATGAGTGAGAAGACAACGTGTGTATTAAGTGAAGTAGAAACACCGAAAGAAGAGGAAAGAGGTAGCGAGATAAGTATAGATGAAATAATGAAAGCAATGAAAAGCATGAAAGCAGGTAAGGCTGCCGGATATGATAGAGTTTCACTCGAAATGCTAAGGGCTGGAGAGGAAGTGGTGGCAGGCCTGCTGCACACCTTGTTTAATTTACGCTGGGAACTGAAACGGGTACCGGTAGACTGGTGAAAAGCCGTGATAGTCCCAGTCCCAGGGTTGCAGCAGGACTGTAAAAACTACCGTGGCATCAGCCTTCTTAGCATTGTGGGAAAACTGTATGCTAAGTGCTGTACTGATTGAAAGGGTCGTGAAAGAAACTAATGGAAAAATTTGGGATGTGCAAGCGGGATTTAGAAAGGGAATGGGATGTACAGATCAAGTCTTTTCCATGCGCATGATCGCGGAGAAGTTTCTGGCCAAAAACCAAAAGGTTTTTTGCGCGTTCATGGATTTGGAAAAGGCCTATGACAGAGTGGATAGGGATTTGCTATGGCAAACACTGAACTCATTTGGGTTGAGCGCTGGCTTGATACAGGCATTGGAGTCTCTTTATAGGGACTATAGTGCTTGTGTTAGGAATAACGGGGTCTACTCGTACTAGTTTGACATCCATAAAAGTGTCAGACAGGGCTGTGTGGCTTCTCCGTGGCTGTTCCACCTATTTATGGACAGTTGTTTGCAAAATTTGAAAGTTGAAGAATGCGGATTAAGAATGGGTGAATTAACCGTCAAATGCCTTTTGTACGCCGATGATCAAGTTATTCTTGCGTCGTCGGCGGCCGAGTTGCAAATGATGGTTACATTAATGAACGGATCATTAAAAGAAAAGGGTATGAAAGTGAACGCAAGTAAGACGAAGGTTATGGTTTTTGAAAGAGAAGAAAGTAAAACGATTTGTGAAATAAGAATAGAAGGGGAAATGATCGAGCAAGTAGATAAGTTTGTATATTTGGGCTGCGTATTTAACAGGGATGGGAGATATGATAAGGATATAGAACGACGAGTGAATGCGGGAAATAGAGTAAATGGGGTCTTGCACTTCTATTGTGAAGAGTCAAAATGTGTCGAAAAAGGCACGTATGGCAATTCACAATGCTGTGTTGGTCCCTACTTTAACGTATGGTAGTGAAAGTTGGGTGTGGCAGAAGAAGCACGAGGGTAGAATAAACGCAGTAGAAATGCGGTCGTTAAGGAGTATGTTAGGGCTGAATCTGAATGACAGGGTAAGAAATTGTGTAATAAGAGAAGAGTGTGGTTTGCAAGATGATGTTGTGACCAGGATTAAGAAAGGAATGCTTCGGTGGTTTGGTCATGTGGAAAGAATGAATGAGGATAGAGTGACAAAGAAAATTTATGGTGCAGAAGTGAATGGCAGAGTCGGAAAAGCACGTACTAGGCGAAAATTTATCGACCAAATTGACGATTTATTGAAAACGGGCCAAATTAGGAGTACCCTTAACCAACGAGCATGTATGCGTAGGTGTATGGATGTGAAGGAGGCAAGAGAGGTGTGTCAGGATCGTGCCAAATGGAAGTCTGTAGTCTCTGCCTACCCCTCTGGGTGACAGGCGTGAGTGTTTATGTCTTATGTCTTTTATGTTTAGTATGTTTGGGCTAAGATAAATAATAAATATGAGATAACTAGAGATTATAAATGAAACTCAATAATATATAACTAGAATACTTATAATGTAATTTAATAAAACATCAAACAAAATTCAATCATATGTTTAAAAACAAATCGTCAATTTGTCTTAAAATCTCTCTTCATCTCGATTTTTGGCGTTTTCTAACGGGATTCCAACTTGGCTTTCATGGCTCTCAATCGTGATGAATCCTTATATTGAAAAATTACCGCTTCTGTCGTCAACTTCACAGTTGCTTAACAGTCAGCCTCACCACCAGATGTACTGTTTGCTGAATTTCTTGGTTAAATTAGTGTTTCAAAATCGGCGATTCAGTAATGGTATGTTGCCAATTTATCATATCAATGTAGGTTGTTGCCCGGAAATTAATATCAGGCATCTCGAGTAGCCTTGGTGCAGGGGATTTGTATATACTCTGTGTTTTTAATATACGCTGGGTATGCTAATTCACGAATGTGCTCTTTATTAACTGTAATCATTGCAAGTAGCAAAATTCTCAGGATGTACGAAGTAGATATTGCGTTGAATGACGGGGTCGATCACATATTTCAAGGATTCTGGCAGATATCTGAAGATTAATATTATTTTAAATCGATGTTGATATAAGAGAGCAGGTAAGGCAGCTGGATATGATAGAATATCACTCGAGATGCTAAAGGCTGGAGAGGGAGTAGTGGCAGGCCTGCTGTACACCTTGTTTAATTTACGTCAGGAATTAAACGGGTACCGGATGACTGGTGTAAAGCAGTTATAGTACCAATATATAAGGGAAAAGGGTCAAAAGTCAAAAAGGGCAAAAACTTCCGTGGTATCAGCTTGCTTAGTATTGTGGGTAAACTGTATGCTAAGGTGTTAAGTGAAAGAGTCATGAAAGACTCTGATGAAAAAATTAATTTTTATAATTATTACGGAGAAGTTTTTGGCCAAAAACCAGAAAGTTTTTGTGCGTTTATGGACTTGGATAAGGCTTATGACAGAGTGGACATGACTGTGTTATGGCAAACATTGAACTCATATGGGTTGAGCGCTGGTTTGATACAGGCATTAATGTCCCTCTGTAGGGACTCTAGTGCTTGTGTCAGGATCAACGGGGTCTACTCTGACTGGTTTGTAATCCAAAAAGGAGTCAGACATGGTTGTGTAGCTTCCCTTGTCTATTCAACCTATTTATGGACAGGTGTTTGCAAACTTTGAAAGATGAAGAATGTGGGTTAAGAATGGGCAAGTTAACCGTCGAATGCCTTTTGTACGCCGATGATCAAGTCATATTTGCGTCGTCGGCGGCTGAGTTGCAAATGATGGTTACATTAATGAACTGGGCATTAAAAGAAAGGGGAATGATAGTAAACGCAAGTAAGATGAAAGTGATGGTTTTTAAAAGAAAAGAAAGCAAAACGGTATGTGAAATAAGAATAGAAGGAGAGTTAATTGAGCAAGTGGATGAGTTCGTGTATTTGAGATGTATATTTAGCAGGGATGGTAGATAAGATAAAGATATAGAACGACGAGTAAATGCAGGTAATAGAGTGACTGGGGCACTACACTCTATTATGAAGAATCAGAATGTGTCAAAAATGGCACGTATGGTAATGCTGTGTTAGTCCCTACTTTAATGTATGGTAGTGAAAGTTGGGTGTGGCGGAAGAAGCACGAAAATAGAATAAATGGAAAAAAATATATCATAAATCTTTTAGAAGTATGCTAGAGTTGAATCTGAATGACAAGGTGAGAAATTGCGTGACAAGAGCTGTGGTATGCAAGATAATGTTGTAACCAAGATTAAGAAAGGAATGCTTCGGTGGTTTGGTCATGTAGAAAGAATGAATGAGGAAAGAGTGACAAAGAAAATTTATATGGCAGATGTAAACGGCAGAGTCGGGAAGGGACGCCCTAGTAGAAAGTTTATCGACCAAATTGGCGATATTTTGAAAATGGGCCACATTAGAAGTACCCTTAACCGACGAGCATGTATGCGTAGATATATGGATGTAAAGGAGGCGAAAGAGGTATGTCAGGATCGTGCCAAATGGAAGTCCGTAGTCTCTGCCCACTCCTCTGGGTGACAGATGTAAGTGTTTATGTATGTATGTTGAGTACTTTCTTTACATGATGGTTTATTCTTAATCGGTAAACAAGCTGGCGTAAACTTTTATGAGCAATGTAGCCAGAGTAATCTAATTCTTAGTTGGTTTCTCTGTTGCTACATATAAACGTAGGATTCAATTAGCACGTGTAAACCAACGAACATGAAACTTCTGGAAAAGGACTTGACTGTTACCGACAAATTAGAATAAAAATAAAAATAGTAAAGATAAATTTTTCTTCTCCTTATAAGAAACTTCTTCATTTGTGGTAGTTGCGAAATCATCTGTATTATAAGCTCTGCTCGGATGACGACAATAACATAGGAACATCTATTTCTCAATTTATTAGAGTAGAAATAATTTTTGAGGATGTACCGGACCGATTTCCCCGATCTTATTTCATCTGTAGAGTCTTTTGTAGCTTCTTCATAGTAATAACGTCGACTTCGCCTATTATCATTTTGCGAGAAGTTCACTGATCAATCAAAAATGAATGTTCTCGTTTGAGTTCGTTTTTATCGGTCGAGCAGGTGCAATTCGTGAATTCCTTGCATAAAAATCATTGCCTGAAATATCAAGCAGTTGTTTACTATTTTCCTGAAAGTTATCAAATTTTTCTGAAGAGAGCTTCTTTATAGACTTGAGTAAATTTTTACATTTTAGTGGTAGGATTTTAACATTTGTATAACTCGTGTTCTGGTTACGGTCGGAATAGACGCAGTTTGCCAGATATTTTCAACTCTAGGTGCCAATATCTCCTATTTGTGAAAATATTGGCTCTTTCACAGTTTCCAGTTGCAAGTATACTTCATGACATCTTCAAACGTGGGTAAAGTTTTCTCTTTAATGTCTTGGATATCACAAAAAAGGGACACTTGAATGCACTAAACTTTCTTTCCATGCTTCAAACAATCAAGAAATTTTGTGAAATAGATAAATGCGCGACCGTTCACATTGAAAAGCAATAGCATACTGGCAGTAACACGATAAGTGCGCGACAAATTACCTTACGCACGTGCGCCAAAATTATTTCCCGAGCGCGCCATCATGACTTTTGATTTGAAATAAGTTTACGTAAAAACTTGGTTTTTTATTGATTTTTAATGAAAATAAACTTTATTTTTACTTAAAAAATAAAACAAAGTGTTTCAATTTATTTAATAATAGCATATTTACATAGCTAAATCCTGGGACGAAAATCATTATTTTAGAAAATTCTAACGATCTTGCGGAGACAGCTACTCTGAATCAATCAAAATCATATTTTGAAAGAGTTAATTTGATTTGTAAATGCAGCTTTTTACGCACTATTAGATGATGGTATGTATGCATGGTAAGGTGAAAAAAAAACTCGCTCCGCCCTAATAAGTGCACAAGCATATAAAATGCTAGGACAATTAATTGTACCTGATGAATGCCCCACACAAAATAAGTTTAGCACAGTTAACGGCCTCTGCGGTTAGTCACCGAGTTGTTTTCAGTGCAATAGAATCATTCTGTATATATTATCAGTGCTACAAACACATTCCTCGTTCCTTTAATTTACTGCTTCGTATTAAATAATAAGTCATCATTTAATCTTTATTTATTACTGTCATCGTAATTCGAATTATTTTACAAATGTGCAACGTAAAGAAACAAAATGTTAACTTTCAGGTACTCTATTTTCGATACTCTTTTTAAGTAAATATTTAGGCTGGCACGATGCCCTGCTTGGAATTATTTCCACTGTGAGCAAAATTTTAGCATCATTTGCGTATTGCTTTGCACGCAGCCAGTGGGTATTTTTTCTCGGTAAGTTGTTTTAATATTTTATTTAATTAATCACGATAATTTTATTCATTTATGTTTGGGAATTTTTAAATTTAATATTATTAATTTCAACAATTTTTCGATTTAAAAAAAACCCTTTGATTTTAAAGATGAATAACTTTAAATGTTTGCAGGCTCAATATGAAATAAATGTACGATTAAAGTATGTCAAACATAAAAAGTAAACGAAAAGTAATATTATATTTAGTCGAAGTAATTAAAACTTCAGATATAAAACAAAAATTAAAAACGCACGACCAAAAGAATCGAAAGGATGTTAGAAGTATTTACCTTTTTGACTTCATTTTAAAATTTTGCTCAATTTTAACTTTCGCCCTTGCCTCAATAGTTTTATGTAGAATAAAGATATACATTGTACAGACAGCTGAAACTTACATTTTTATTGTATGATAAATAATAATTGTAAGCTATTTATTTATCATAATTCATAGATCTTGGTTAAGCCAGTAATAAAATAGTAATATCTTCCGTTGACGTCATTCCACGTGCATCACGGTAGCAAGACCTTAGATAAGATAATTACATTATATGCGATAAAATGCACGTGACAAATGTAAGCTTAGGTTATAGGTGATCAAAACTAAAGGTATTATTTAAAAATTCTGTTTGATAACCTTATAAAGAAATGTAAATTCGACTCTATAATATGTTCGTGAAGAAAACAATATGACAATGAAATTAATAAAAAGGGTCTAAGGTGAAAGATTTAGTTTAAAAAAAATAAAAACATCAGAATTCACATATGTAAATAAAGCCACTTTAAAAAAAATGAAGAAAAGTTGCTACGAAATGCTTAAATCGGCAAGTTAGCCAAACGTAGAGTTAATAAACGTGGTTTTAGCTTATCCTAGTGTGTTTTGTTTGAACTACTGTACTTTACGTTCAACGTTTAGACTAACCGAAAACTATATATAGTATTTTATACGGCCATGTTAAAATACACCAAGGCGTTTAAATTCTGTAACTTTTCTATCACTGCGATGTTAATATTAATTTCATAAGATTAACAACGTAAGAATTCAATAACAACTTAAGTTATGTTTGGGATTTTTTCAACTAACAAAATTATTTTCTCAGAAATAATCCAATGTAATAAATAATAAAATTGAATTTTAAGTAACTTCAATGAATTTTTTCATTATTTTTATAAGGTAACAATTCATGTTCTACTAAATAACTAATAATTGCTTCTCCTTTTTATTTAAATTTATGCAAAGCTATTTGGCGAATCTTTCTGTTATTATTCAGTTTATTGCTAGCGTTTAACTAAAAGTTCTGACTGCGTCCCGTCCTTAGTGTGTCCGTCCGTGTGACCTGAATTTTATATAAAATTAAGGTTACACAGAAATAAAAAAATAATAGTAAATGTGATAAAAATGTCCTATTAAAACCGGGTATACGCGTAAAAATAGGTGGTATATGTGCGACCGAATCATTCTAGTACATTTCGTCATGCGTACTGGTACATTCTTATCGATCATTCAAATGGATCATTTCGGGCTCCAGTACTCTGTGAGTGTGAAATCCATAGGGAACCGAAAATTTTTTATTTGAAATAGCACCATCTACTACATGCTACTACATGGTAATAAAGTCATTTTATCGAACTAAAACTTATCGACTTTCAAGGTGGTAAGTACGATCGACGCTAGATGGCATAAATACAAAAACCTCAAGTTATCATATATTTTAAATATTTAATAAATTCGGTTATTCTTAAATTTCATTCCTAACAATACACAATTTCATCTTCCTTTATATATGTCTAAAATAGATATATAATTATTAATAATTATATAATTATTAATAATTAATATAATTATTTGCCGATAACCGATGGGGAAGAAAGGTTTTCGAGTGGCAGCCTCGTACCGGTAGGCGTAGTGTAGGGCGACCCCCCACTAGATGGAGTGACGACCTGGTAAGACATGCAGGAAGTCGATGGATGCAGGTGGCTCAGGACCGTGCTTTGTGGCATTACTTGGGGGAGGCCTATGTTCAGCAGTGGACTTGTGAAGGGCTGTAATGATGATGATGATGATGATGATAATTATTTGCTACAAAATTTAACTTTTACCTCTCTTATATAAGGTGGTTGAAAATTATCATATTAAATAAATCATTTGTTATGAATTTTCTTTCTTGAAAATTCTTTTCAAGTGTTATTTTTAGTAAACTCAACGAAATGATATTTTTAACTCACAGATATAACAAATAAATATAATGAAATTTAGAATAATTTTTAATTTTGATAACAATATTATAATAAAAACCCCTTAAATAATAAATACTCCTGATACTCTGCAGTCTGCATTGTTTATTCGATTCGCCTGTTTATTCAGATCATTCGGGATTCGGTCGGTTTGCGGCTCATTCACAATTCAAACAAATCGCGGGTTAAAAAGGTACCGTCAACTATTTGTGATTGGTTGTACTGGTACATTCAAAAACAAATAAATGTACCATCAATATTTTTATGTTTACCAGCTCAAACGAACGAATCATGCATGATTGACACATGTCTATTACACTGGTAGTCTGTGAGGGCGTGGTCTTTCCCCGGTCGAGCCGACCCATTCTTGCCACACAAATGATATAGCTACAGCGTGACTCTACTACGTATGCAACAGGATTAAGATGTCTCTTAGAACAACAAATATCCACAATAGCCATCGAAATCCAGTGGTAGTGCACTGTAATGTTCGGGTGGTCGGAAGGGGTTTTCAAATGACAACTAGCAGCGTGACGATATATATCGAAATATTTTTATTTATTACACCAGACTATACGACTACTCAGACTTGATGTGACCGACTGACTTAATAGACTATCATAACGGACTGTCGTACTGGAGTAACTGTCGTGTCGAACTGACTTACTGAACTGTCTATTACATTGGGGTTGAGGACCTTATAAATTAGAAGAATGTAAACAATACTATGAGAAAAGTAAACAAACAACTTTGGACTCTGCACTCGTTAACAATCATTGGTAATTACTAAGTTGTTTACTATACGTTATCTTATATTTCACATTTAAGTATAGTTTGATTATAAAATAGAGTAAATATTACAATCCTCCCCTATTAAGAACAATAAACACAGTTTATTTTAAAATTAAAATCGAACAAATAAAATAGTTATAACACTTCAATGTTAACACATAACATAATATACCAAATACAGTTACAATAATAAAATCAAATTATCCAACTTATACATTTTTCTTAACAATAAAATCAAAACTTTTATCAAAAATCAAAAGAATAATATAATCAAAATGTCAAAGTATAAAAATTTTAAATTACTTATACATATACAAAATTAATTTACTTTTAATTTTGCAATTCTTGCACTACGTCTTAAAGGTACTCGTATGTCTGAAGCGCTTGATGTAGAAGGCACTTCTTCTAATTCAATATCTTTATTATCATTATTTACTTTTAAAGTTATACAGTTCGTAATTCTTGCGCAACAAGACCTAGTATCTTCTAATGCTAATAATCTACTATTTCTATTACAAAAGAAATGTCTTCTCCATAAATATTTCGCTAAACGATATATTATATAAATCAAAACCACTTTTAAAATAGAGCAAAATATTTAAGCGAAATAAAAATTGTTACTAACCTTATCAAAAATCGTTTCATTTTCCATTTGATCAGTAATATCATTAATTTTATCTATTTTGTGACTTGTCAAATTCAGACTTTCTAAATCTAATTTCTCGTAGATTTTCAATGGTATAAAATTTATTTTAGTTATATTTCTATTTTTCAACTTTTTTACAACAATCATCTGATATAATATCTATCTGTAGTAAAATTGAATTAAAATTACTTTCTAAACCTAATGTTTGAGTTTGTAGCATTATATTGCTTGTAAATAATTTACAATTGTCTGAATTTTTTATGATTTCACTATTTATTAATTCTATATCAACAGGTTCTTTATTTTTACAATTTAATGTGCCTATTACTTTTTCAGGTGTTACAAATAACCAATGATTTTTCCGATGTAGCTTAAACCATTGTTCTGTTTGTATATAGTCCACTCTAGTATCACATTCACTGGGTAATTTTGTGCTACCGTACATCAATTCGGCTTCACACGTTTTACTTGTAGGTGCAGAATATAAGACAGTTTCTAATTTACATATGTATCTCCCATTATTTTGTAGAATTTTACAAAGATTCAAATTTTCTAAACTATGTAGTATAATGAATTTTTTTACTCGAAATTAAAAAGTATTTGAAATTAGGTAAAACGAATATTATCACTACTTTTAATTGGAACTGGCAAAACATGATATAAATCGTAACTAACTTGAGTGATCAAAGGAGTTTTAATTACAAAAACAAGGTTTTCGTTTGTTACATAATATGATACAATATTTTCTAACGATAATAATTCTGGAATATCTTTTTCAACTAGCTCTAGAGGATATTTCGTTTGCGTAGGTAAATATGATAAAGTTTTTCTTAATTCTATTCCATATTATTCTGGGTTTATGATTACTGGATGTATGGCATTATTCTTCGCGAATAATATTGCATTAATAATTGTTGAAATTTCATTATTAACTTCGGTAGTTATCAAGGTCAATAATGACATGTGTTCGTCAATATCTTGTTTAATTTTAATACTGAATATTTTATCGCCTATTTCTTTGGTATAATTTGATAATAAATTTAAATTTTTATTAAATATTTTTTCGTTAATATTTAAATCAGTAATTGTAGTAGTAGTAGTAAATGTAGTATTGAAATTAGAAATTGTTGATTTAACTATATTAAATTGAGTTTTTAATAAGTTTAAAACTTCGTGTTCATTTTTATTAAGATTTTCAATTGCTTCATTGTATCCTTTCGCATCTTCGGCATCTACAGTTCCAAACAATATTTTGAAAATGTTGCCTACACCATCTAAATATGATCGCTTAGTTCTATAGTTGTGAAAACC